TTTTCAGCAGGGGTGGCCTTGACGCAATTCATGTGATACGTGTGTTGACAGACGGCACAGTCCACCGAATCATTGCTGTTTTAGGGGTAGTGATGTGTCAGCATCTAGATCCACTTTTTTGCACTCCACTTTGTCGTACCCTCCATGCCTCCCACCCATTGGGTCCCGCGCCACCCCGCTAAATCACAGGGCCCGGTCGGGTTTTTGGGTTTTTGGTTGGCTGGGGTCGCCCACTTGGGTTGGACCTCTGATCTGATGGAGGCTTGTTCACTTACTTCGCGCAGAAGGTGGTGCATCGCTTGCACGTTTTGACCGCGCTGGTCAGCTCCTTCCCCCGGCCCTGTTCCGTCAGGACATACTTCCACCGCTCATCCAGCACCTTCTTGACGTGTTCGGGCACGTTGATGACCTGCCGCGTCGGGATCACCTCGTAGTTCTTTTGGATGTACCGGTCATACAGCCGATCGTACCAGAAGCAATCGGGCGTCCCCTTGTAGGCAGCCATGTCGGTGATTTCGGTCTTGTGCCGGATCTGACACTTGCCGCGCAGCGACGTCAGAGGGCTAATGTCTGAGTGCATCGTGGCGTAAACAAGGCGTGTGTCTTGCACCTTGCGTCCGATGTCCTTAGGTCGGTAGTACCAATTGATGCGCAGCGCGTCGATTGGCAATGCCGCGTCGTTTTTGGCGTGCAAAAATTCCATGATGCGGCCCAAATAGTACGGTTCCCCGGGCGGCTCACAGACCAGGTACACATGATCTGCGTCACTCGCGTCAGGACCGTTCGCTCAAAGTAAAATGAAGAAAATGACCTATGTCATGGTGATAGTGTGATGTGGAGAAGGCGGAAAAACTTACCATTTACTTCGAGGATCGTGCCGTCGTCCGCGATCATTTTCCCATCCTTGGGGCGGGACTTGGAATTCTCAAACGTGACTAAGTTCGTCTCGCCATAGCTCGCACTGCTTGGCGTGCCATTCCCAGTACTTTGCCCGCTGGTTCCGACGCGCTTCTGCAGCCCCGACGAGGGAAGAGTGCCACCATTCAACCCTGACGGTGTTTGGCTGCCGCTGGTCGTTGGAGCCGTGTCGGCAACCTTGCGCTTCTTGCCCTTTGAAGCGCTATTTGTTGCGCCAGCGCCGTTGGCAGCCGATGATGCCACATTTGATGGTTGGTGTTGGTTTTGTGGCTGTGGTTGTTGTTGCTGCTGTTGCTGTTGGTGCTGGTCTTTGGTGCCGTTGTGCTGCCTGCCGTCCTCCGGAAGCGGTTTTCTTGAAGATCCATTGCCGGAGCGCGGGGCAGCCGGCGCCGGATTGGCGGGTGCTGGCGTTGACGATGCGCCTTGTTGTTTGGTGGCCAATTTTTTGGCGTCATCATCTTTGCGCTGAGGATAGGCGTCGAACATCTCCAGATCCAGGTCCTTGTCCTCAGCATAATTTGGGCGTGCGGCGCCGGTGCGGTTCCGCGATCGCGTGCCGTAGGGAGAGGGCTGCGAACCGGCCACCGACGGCTTCTCCATGGCCTGTGGTGGGGGTTGCGGTGATTCCGAATTGGAGTTTGAGTGAGATGCCGGGTCGGATATGTGTGGGAGTGTGGATGAAGAAGAGACGGCACCCGAACTATTAGACTGCTTGGTTGAATTTGGTGACCCTGCGCCGTCCTTGGCGGATGAGGTGCGACTGCCCGAATTTGCCTGGTCCTCAGGCTGGGTCGCAGAAGGGGATCTCTGGGCCATGGTGAACTAAGAAAAAGTGGTGTCCGTTGGAAGGTAACGAGGCCCGCGCCCAGTCAGTGAGTGATGACGGTGAAAGCGCAGCCTCGGTCCTTGTTGACGATAGGAAAGAGTGAGAAAATGGCAAGGGCGCCAAATCGCATGGGGGCACAGTGGAAGTTACGGAAGGAGATGGGATGTGACGCGAGTGGGCCAGTGATGATGGTCCATAAGACGAAACGACTGCGGGGTCCGATGCCCCGTGCAAAAAGAAGCGCCCTTAGCAGTCGCCGCGTGTTGTGTTTTGGGCGGAAGAAAGCTAGAGATCGTTGGGGGGGGGAGGTGAAAACCTGGAACGCTTGGGGGGTGGAAGAGGTTCGAGGGCGCGGCCAACGCGGGTGGGGTGAGAGATGGCGATGGCGGGTGGGAGGCAGGATATAAAACGTGGGATGGCGAGAGAGCGAGAAGAGGGAGGCGAAGCGTCGGACCAAATAGGACGGGCGCGCTAAGGTGAGAAGATGGATGTGAGGAGTCGCGTTGCTCGGGTATCCAGGTCAAAAGTTGGGATGAGCGAGGGCAAACACCAGCCAGGCGTGCCGGATTGCTCGCGAGAGAGAGATTTCCCAAAGTGAGGAAGAAAAGGGAAGGGAGACTAGCAGCAGGAAGATATGTGGGCAGAAAAGGTAAAGTAATGATGGGGACCAGCGAAGAAACGTCGAATGGCAAGGAGAACAAGCCAAGGCCAGGTCCAGCATGAGGGTACATCTCGCGGTACAAGTTCAAGGTACTCCTGTGCCCTGGGCCATCTCCCGGGCGAGGCGGCGCCCTTTGCGAATTGCGGACGTGTGCCGGGGGCCACCCCCATGCTTCCATTTCCATTCGAGCCTGCCCGGGCCTACTTTCGACGCACAGCACGCCCCGGGCAAGTGGGTCGCCGCTTGCACTGTGGAGCGAAGAGGGTGCTGTGTCGATATCGCGGGTTGCAGGGATTTGCATTCCCGCAT